CGTTTTGCCCGCCATATACCTGTTTGCCAGTGTCCTTTGACAGCTCTTTGGTCTTGGCCATGGTGAAGTTTGGAGTGTGACTGTTTGAGGTTGTGGACAGGTGTCTTTTATACTGATAACGAGTTCAAACAGATGCCATTAATACAGGTAACGAGTGGAGGACAGAGGAGCCTCTTAAAGAAGAAGTTACAGGTCTGTGAGAGCCAGAAATCTTGCTTGTTTGTAGGTGACCAAATACTTATTTTACCGAGGAATTTACCAATTCTTTAAAAATCCTACAATGTGATTTTCTGGATTTTTTTCTCATTTTGTCTCTCATAGTTGAGGTATACCTATGATGAAAATTACAGGCCTCTCTCATCTTTTTAAGTGGGAGAACTTGCACAATTGGTGGCTGACTAAATACTTTTTTGCCCCACTGTATATGCATTAAAGTACTACATTAGTGCAGTAGGACACTAATGAAGCTGTAAATGTGGGCCTGATGGCCTACTGAAAGCTGAGGATTGTGGGTTTGAGCCCCATCTGGGCCACCTAAAAGCATCTAGGAAAGCCAGTGATATGCAATGCACTTGCTTTTATCGACACCAAAAACAGACACACTTTGAAAGTGCAAATAAACAAATTATAAAATTGGCTTTGTCTGTAAAAAAAAAGTGTGGCTGAGACAGAAATGATTAAATTTTCAACACCTCTCCCTGGGTGAGGAAGTTGGCCATGAGGGCCCCTTTGATCGCATTCTCCAGTTCACAGTCCTTAAAGATGATCAGTGGTGACTTTCCTCCAAGCTCCAGAGTCACCTGCTTCACACCTTTGGCTGCCATTTCCATAACCTTTATAGGGTAAATCACATCAAAAATGCATTTTAAAGACATTTGCATATGTCCACAATATATAGTGGGTGAAAAACAGAATGTGAAAAGAGTAGTATTCATAAAACGGCACTGACAATGGTAGGTCACATGACATCTGGTATGTCCAGTTTATATTCATACTATACTTTGAAAGTGCAAATAAACAAATTATAAAATTGGCTTTGTCTGTAAAAAAAAGTGTGGCTGAGACAGAAATTATTAAATTTTCAACACCTCTCCCTGGGTGAGGAAGTTGGCCATGAGGGCCCCTTTGATCGCATTCTCCAGTTCACAGTCCTTAAAGATGATCAGTGGTGACTTTCCTCCAAGCTCCAGAGTCACCTGCTTCACACCTTTGGCTGCCATTTCCATAACCTTTATAGGGTAAATCACATCAAAAATGCATTTTAAAGACATTTGCATATGTCCACAATATATAGTGGGTGAAAAACAGAATGTGAAAAGAGTAGTATTCATAAAACGGCACTGACAATGGTAGGTCACATGACATCTGGTATGTCCAGTTTATATTCATACTATACACAGGCATACTATACTGAACATTAATATAAATGTTAAAAATACATTTTTATATATTTATTTGTAATAAATACCTTTTTACACACACACACACAGTATCTCACAGAAGCGAGTACACCCCTCACATTTTTGTAAATATTTTTATTATATCTTTTCATGTGACAACACTGAAGAAATGACTCTTTGCTACAATGTAAAGTAGTGAGTTTACAGCTTCTAGAACAGTGTAAATTTGCTGTCCCCTCAAAATAACTCAACACAGCCATTAGTCTAAACCGCTGGCCACAAAAGTGAGTACACCCCTAAGTGAAAATGTTTAAATTGGGCCCAATTAGCCATTTTCTCTCCCCTTTGTCATGTGACTCAGTGTTACAAGGTCTCAGGTGTGAATGGGGAGCAAGTGTGTTAAATTTGGTGTTATCGCTCTCACTCTCTCTCATACTGGTCACTGGAAGTTCAACATGGCACCTCATGGCAAAGAACTCTTACAGAAGGAACCTTCAAAATAAGTGTACATAGATTCATATTTTTTAAAAGCTGTCACAGCATTTTGCAAACCAAAATATCCTGAAACCATATACAGTATATAAAAAACAACCCCTCACATAGCCTACACCTTCAAAAGCAGGCTTTTCCCATGAGATCCCAGTGTAAAGATGATACATATTGTTGTCATGGTTATCATTGCTGTTGTTTTTCCAACAAAATTTCCCATAGCTAATGCCACCCACCCTAGACTTTGGGATCACTTCATGGGCAGAAAAATGGATGTCCAGGCACTGGGGATAATCCATCATGTACTGAAAGCAGAGGCCACATAGGGGATGATCACAGGTAAGACCTGTCTCTTTTATGGAGATGCTTTGTGCACCCAGTGAAAAAGCAGGAGGGCTTCAGAATGAGTGTTGAAGTTACTGGATCTGAAATTGTACTGGGAAGTCCCACTCTGAAATCACACAGTTTTATCATTGCCACAAGGGTATCCTGTGTTTTTCAGAGAGAGTCAGTTTGACACGTGCTTTTGTTCTTTTGTTACTGGAACCATGTCCTGTGGTCTGATGAGACCAAGATAAACTTATTTGGTTCAGATGGTGTCAAGCGTGTGTGGCGGCAACCTGGTGAGGAGTACAAAGACAAGTGTGTCTTGCCTACAGTCAAGCATGGTGGTGGGAGTGTCATGGTCTGGGGCTGCATGAGTGCTGCCGGCACTGGGGAGCTACAGTTCATTGAGGGAACCATGAATGCCAACATGTATTGTGACATACTGAAGCAGAGCATGATCACCACCCTTCGGAGACTGGGCCGCAGGGCAGTATTTCAACATGATAACGACCCCAAACACACCTCCAAGGCGACCACTGCCTTGCTAAAGAAGCTGAGGGTAAAGGTGATGGATTGGCCAAGCATGGGCATCCTCAAACAAAAGGTGGAGGAGCACAAGGTCTCTAACATCCACTAGCTCCGTGATAACCTGTGAAGCTCTGGTGAACTCCATGCCCAAGAGGGTTAAGGCACTGCTGGAAAATGGTGGGCGCACAAAATAGACACTTTGGGCCCAATTTGGACATTTTCACTTAGGGGTGTACTCACTTTTGTGGCCAGCGGTTTAGACATTAATGGCTGTGTGTGGAGTTATTTTGAGGGGACAGCAAATTTACACTGTTATACAAGCTGTACACTCACTACTTTACGTTGTAGCAAAGTGTAATTTCTTCAGTGTTGTCACATGAAAAGGTATAATAAAATATTTACAAAAATGTGAGGGGTGTACTCACTTCTGTGAGATACTGTACACATACATGTATATACACACACACACATACATATATATATATTTTTTTATCTAACTATAATCTAAATGCTAAAAAACACAATCAAATAAAAATTTCAATAAACAGAATTATAGCAGAAATAATGGAAAAATCTTAGCGTATATGGGTTGAGGCTTTGAAAATAGTTTTGGACAACAGCCTTTGGGCCAAAAAGGTTGAGAACTACTGCATTATCGTTGCATACTGAATGAGGATGAGGGTTCAAAATGTTTATCTTTACAGCTAACATTACCTTGCACTAATGCTACTAATTTTCTTTGGTTTATTTTGTTTTCATGATATACCTTCTTTCCAGTGGGGACACTGCCAGTGAAGGACACTTTGGCCACCATGGGATGGTGACACAGAAGTCCTCCAGTCTCGGCTCCTCCTTGTACCACATTAAAGAGTCCATCTGGGACACCTGCCTCTTTGTAGATCTCTGCCAACATGACTACGGTCACTGGGGTCATGGGAGATGGTTTAAACACCATGGCATTGCCTAAGAGGAGATGATGTTTCCATAACAGAGAGAAACGGACATGGGGGTGGGGGGGACAAGAAAAGGATGGAGCACCAAAATCCGGCCACAAATTACAGATACATAGAGCAATCTTCTCATACCACAGGCCATAGCTGGGGCTGACTTCCAGGCAGCTATCTGGAATGGGTAGTTCCAAGCTCCAATGCCAACACACACTCCAAGTGGCTCCCTTCTGGTATAGGCAAAAGAACCTCCTGGAAGCTGTATATGCTGGCCTGAGTATATAAAGACCATTTTTAGATATGTATAAATATTTACATTTTTTGCTATTTTTTTTTTGAGACCCGCCACACCATCCAAGCCTACCTGACAAAGTGGGGGCAATGCCAGCATAGTACTCAATACACTGCCAAGCAACGTCAATATCCACCTGAGCCTCAGTGATGGATTTGCCATTGTTGGCCACTTCCGCTCTAGCAATTTCATCTCTGCGCTCCTGCATGCAAGAACAGAAGTTTGCCAATTGGTAGAATCATACAACTAATAAATCAACATCACAACATAATTTCCTTGCAGAATCATAAGTGATGTAGTCTTTCACCAGAACATTTAAAATATAAGTTCAGTATATACCATCGATCAACAAGCTTGGTGTACAGTACGTCTGTTTTAAAACTGTACAAGTTATCATTAAAAAGCAATTCCCCTATGTAATAAATTAATCAGATTTTTCCTTCCGGACTGTTGCACTCTATTGACTACCATGTTCATTGGATAATCTTTAGAAGCATTACATGCACTTACTCTAATAATTCTGGCAGCCTCCAGCATGATCCGGGCCCTCTCCATTCCTGATAATTTGCTCCATTTTAGGTATGCAGAATGAGCACTTTTTATGGCCTCATCTACCTCCTCCTCTCCACAGGGAATCATATCACACAGCACACGACCTGGGAACAGAACACTGAGTGGAGTACATGTATTGAACACGTTACAGGAAGGAAGGGCTGTTTGTGAGCACACCTTTTTGTTATGTTCCTACATTAAATCTGAAAATCCTTAACTGTTTTAATTTAGACTTAACATACCGGTTTCAAAGTATTGTTCCTATCATTGACTACTGAGGTGTGAGGCAAAAAGACCGCAGGGTAATTATAGTAAATCAATAACTCAATGCACAGCCAATGCACATTGTGAACTTTTATAAAGATGCAACAGCACAACAGCAACAAATAGCAATTGAATGGCCTTCGACTGGCAGATCAATGTGCTCCTTTTCTGAGATGGTCCTCACTGCAGAACACAAGTTCCAGGGGGCCAACTCCTCCTACCTCACATATACCTAAACCTACCCGTCTCCATCTCCACCTCCTAGATGTGGATCCAACCACGCACCCTGGATCTTGTGTTCTGCAGTCAAGTATAGGTCTCTGCAGGAGTAATGAGTAAAAAGTAATGGGAGTGACCAAATCGGGGCGTTTTTAGACCATGTTTCCTGACGTCAGTGACTGTAGGTTTAGGGGTGAGGTTAGGTAAGGGGGATCATTTAGATTGCATGATTGAGAAACACCCTGCAGTTTGAAAACACCCACAAATTCAGAAACACCCACTTTTGCTCTGTAGAGATCTCAATCTCTCTGCAGTGAGGGGCTAATGCATTTTCTCTTCAATTCAGTAAGACGTAGTGATGGGAAGTTCGGATCATTTTACCGACTCGGACCTTTGAGACTCGTTCCGCAAAATGAACGAATCTTTGAGAAATTTCATCCATTTTAGCAAAATATAATTAAAATGTTAGGCGTTACTTCCCTAATACGTCTACTACTTACGCAAACGTTGATCACACTACAAACAATACAAAACTGCTATAAGAAACATAAAAGATTAATTCATTGTTTACCTGGGTCTTCAGTCTATGATTAGCTCACCTCACATCTGACAAGTCTTCGGGTTTGAGTCATTCGTTCATCACGTGACAGCCCCATACACTTAACCAATGCAGTCTGAGCCGGAAAGAGAATTGATTCGTTCATCTCTCGAATGGTTCGTTCTTTTGTCACGTGACGTGACTGCATTGGATGGAGAAATTTGTTAATTTACAAGCTTCCTTACAAACAGGTGCATAGTTGTTATTATCATCATAATTATTATTTACTCCTACAGTTACTGATGCGTTTCTGGTCTCAAATTGTAGCTTTTACTTCTTAGTTTTATAAATGTGTGAATTTCTATCATTATGGTTCTTTTCTATAACTCTGAATGTTGTAACAAAGGTAACAAAGAGTTGGTTATTATTATTATTATTATTATTAAGTCTCTTGTGTACTCACTTTTGTGGCCAGCGGTTTAGACATTAATGGCTGTGTGTGGAGTTATTTTGAGGGGACAGCAAATTTACACTGTTATACAAGCTGTACACTCACTACTTTACGTTGTAGCAAAGTGTAATTTCTTCAGTGTTGTCACATGAAAAGGTATAATAAAATATTTACAAAAATGTGAGGGGTGTACTCACTTCTGTGAGATACTGTACACATACATGTATATACATATATATATATATATATATATATATATTTTTTTTTTTTTTTTATCTAACTATAATCTAAATGCTAAAAAACACAATCAAATAAAAATTTCAATAAACAGAATTATAGCAGAAATAATGGAAAAATCTTAGCGTATATGGGTTGAGGCTTTGAAAATAGTTTTGGACAACAGCCTTTGGGCCAAAAAGGTTGAGAACTACTGCATTATCGTTGCATACTGAATGAGGATGAGGGTTCAAAATGTTTATCTTTACAGCTAACATTACCTTGCACTAATGCTACTAATTTTCTTTGGTTTATTTTGTTTTCATGCTATACCTTCTTTCCAGTGGGGACACTGCCAGTGAAGGACACTTTGGCCACCATGGGATGGTGACACAGAAGTCCTCCAGTCTCGGCTCCTCCTTGTACCACATTAAAGAGTCCATCTGGGACACCTGCCTCTTTGTAGATCTCTGCCAACATGACTACGGTCACTGGGGTCATGGGAGATGGTTTAAACACCATGGCATTGCCTAAGAGGAGATGATGTTTCCATAACAGAGAGAAACGGACATGGGGGTGGGGGGGACAAGAAAAGGATGGAGCACCAAAATCCGGCCACAAATTACAGATACATAGAGCAATCTTCTCATACCACAGGCCATAGCTGGGGCTGACTTCCAGGCAGCTATCTGGAATGGGTAGTTCCAAGCTCCAATGCCAACACACACTCCAAGTGGCTCCCTTCTGGTATAGGCAAAAGAACCTCCTGGAAGCTGTATATGCTGGCCTGAGTATATAAAGACCATTTTTAGATATGTATAAATATTTACATTTTTTGCTATTTTTTTTTTGAGACCCGCCACACCATCCAAGCCTACCTGACAAAGTGGGGGCAATGCCAGCATAGTACTCAATACACTGCCAAGCAACGTCAATATCCACCTGAGCCTCAGTGATGGATTTGCCATTGTTGGCCACTTCCGCTCTAGCAATTTCATCTCTGCGCTCCTGCATGCAAGAACAGAAGTTTGCCAATTGGTAGAATCATACAACTAATAAATCAACATCACAACATAATTTCCTTGCAGAATCATAAGTGATGTAGTCTTTCACCAGAACATTTAAAATATAAGTTCAGTATATACCATCGATCAACAAGCTTGGTGTACAGTACGTCTGTTTTAAAACTGTACAAGTTATCATTAAAAAGCAATTCCCCTATGTAATAAATTAATCAGATTTTTCCTTCCGGACTGTTGCACTCTATTGACTACCATGTTCATTGGATAATCTTTAGAAGCATTACATGCACTTACTCTAATAATTCTGGCAGCCTCCAGCATGATCCGGGCCCTCTCCATTCCTGATAATTTGCTCCATTTTAGGTATGCAGAATGAGCACTTTTTATGGCCTCATCTACCTCCTCCTCTCCACAGGGAATCATATCACACAGCACACGACCTGGGAACAGAACACTGAGTGGAGTACATGTATTGAACACGTTACAGGAAGGAAGGGCTGTTTGTGAGCACACCTTTTTGTTATGTTCCTACATTAAATCTGAAAATCCTTAACTGTTTTAATTTAGACTTAACATACCAGTTTCAAAGTATTGTTCCTATCATTGACTACTGAGGTGTGAGGCAAAAAGACCGCAGGGTAATTATAGTAAATCAATAACTCAATGCACAGCCAATGCACATTGTGAACTTTTATAAAGATGCAACAGCACAACAGCAACAAATAGCAATTGAATGGCCTTCGACTGGCAGATCAATGTGCTCCTTTTCTGAGATGGTCCTCACTGCAGAACACAAGTTCCAGGGGGCCAACTCCTCCTACCTCACATATACCTAAACCTACCCGTCTCCATCTCCACCTCCTAGATGTGGATCCAACCACGCACCCTGGATCTTGTGTTCTGCAGTCAAGTATAGGTCTCTGCAGGAGTAATGAGTAAAAAGTAATGGGAGTGACCAAATCGGGGCGTTTTTAGACCATGTTTCCTGACGTCAGTGACTGTAGGTTTAGGGGTGGGGTTAGGTAAGGGGGATCATTTAGATTGCATGATTGAGAAACACCCTGCAGTTTGAAAACACCCACAAATTCAGAAACACCCACTTTTGCTCTGTAGAGATCTCAATCTCTCTGCAGTGAGGGGCTAATGCATTTTCTCTTCAATTCAGTAAGACGTAGTGATGGGAAGTTCGGATCATTTTACCGACTCGGACCTTTGAGACTCGTTCCGCAAAATGAACGAATCTTTGAGAAATTTCATCCATTTTAGCAAAATATAATTAAAATGTTAGGCGTTACTTCCCTAATACGTCTACTACTTACGCAAACGTTGATCACACTACAAACAATACAAAACCGTTATAAGAAACAGAAAAGATTAATTAATTGTTTACCCGAGTCTTCAGTCTATGATTAGCTCACCTCACATCTGACAAGTCTTCGGGTTTGAGTCATTCGTTCATCACGTGACAGCCCCATACACTTAACCAATGCAGTCTGAGCCGGAAAGAGAATTGATTCGTTCATCTCTCGAATGGTTCGTTCTTTTGTCACGTGACGTGACTGCATTGGATGGAGAAATTTGTTAATTTACAAGCTTCCTTACAAACAGGTGCATAGTTGTTATTATCATCATAATTATTATTTACTCCTACAGTTACTGATGCGTTTCTGGTCTCAAATTGTAGCTTTTACTTAGTTTTATAAATGTGTGAATTTCTATCATTATGGTTCTTTTCTATAACTCTGAATGTTGTAACAAAGGTAACAAAGAGTTGGTTATTATTATTATTATTATTATTAAGTCTCTTTCCGGCTCCGACTGCATTGGTTAAACTTATGGGGCTGTCACGTGATGAACGAACGACTCGGAAAAACCCGAAGACTCGAACCAGGTGAACTACTTGACTAATTCCAGTACAGAGCCTATAGGATATTGCGCATGCGCGACTGAACGAAATCACTCCGAGACGACTCGTTCTTCCCGAGTCACATTAAAGATTCGTTCAAAATGAACGAATCGTTCAAGAACGACCCAACACTAGTAGGACGAATTGAGTACTGTATGAAATGCTGTGTGTGTATATGAGGACATTAACTGTGACAAGATGATTAACAGACAGTTTACAGTGACATGATGCACGTAAATATATACAAATAACAAACAGGAAAAAATAATGCACGGAACCTTAAAACAATTTATTACAGTTTTAAAAATCATACCAGTTGCAGGTTCGTATACTGGTTCAGAGTTCTTGGTGTCCTTCGGCTTCACTCTCGCTCCTCCCCAGAAATTCAGCGGCTCCTTCACCACCAAAGCACCGGTGGAAACGTTCTGAAACTCGGGCAGCGACAGAAGCGGTTGCTGAGCCATTCTGGTCTGGCGGGGAACCACGTAAAAACGCTCGGTCAATGTCAGTGCTTATTAGCGATATATTTTTGTTTCCAGTAGTGTCGGTATTAATCGACATGCGTGCAATGCTTATGCTGAGCGTGCAACGTTAAAGTTAAGCATGCACAGACGTCGAATAATAACTAGTTTGTTGTGCACAGTACACGTTGGCTAATCCTCATCACTGCCACAACAGGGAAACGCCTCATTACAGGTAATTGAAACAAGAACGCTTCCGATTGCGTGAACATTCACTAATAAGAATGCAACACTGACTGATCAGGTTTATGCATTAATTGTACAACGTTAACAGAAATGCATTGCGATACACTAAACACTCATTTAAATGCATGTTCCTTACCTTTTCAACACAAGTTGTTTACTGCACAAAAGTAGATCGTTCGCCTTCTATGGTCGTGCAGCGAAAGGCGGACGCCTCCACATTTTTTTCGAATTTAAAGCATGTGGTTGCTCAAGGCAAGCTGGCCCGGGATTCCATTAATTGATTACATAAAGGGTGGGTGTGAATGATTTGTGAGTTACCTTAAGCACCGCATTTAGACCACATTTTTATGGTTTCAACACATTTTTTTGGCCAAAGTTCCAGAAAGCAACAGAAGGCAAGAATTGCGCAACGCATCCAGATATTCATCTTTCGTTTGATGTGCATGATTCTAGTCTTGTTATATTGCCATGAACTGTAAAGGACACTCCGAACCTAAGACAATACAAACAATAAACGAGAGTGTATTGCAACAATGTCAGCTCTTTCCAGCTTGAAAGAATTTAACTGGGACATAAAAAGCTTTATTACAAGGAGGACATGTCTTCTCAGCCTTTTTGTTCCTGTAGCACACAACTGTTCTTCTGTCTCTCCCTCTCTCACTAGTTATGTACTCGTCAGCACATTTCTCTCTTCTGCACTACTAAATTTGGCAATGAAATGTTGAACGTCAATTCTATAGCATATGTAAAATGTATGCTCTTTGCATACTTACCTAAACAAGCAACCATCCAGACATTATTACTGGTAGATTAACCATCTGTGGCTATATTACAAAAAGTGTATCCTGTGGGGGACAATTGCAGCACAATTGCAGAAGGCTAAAACTTTACTCTGAATTGCAAAACAATGACTCTGGTCTACGCCTTATTATGCATGCCATTTTACTTTTTTTTTTTTTTTAAAGAACTGTAAAACTCCTTTCATAGTCATTTTTTTTAATCCAGTGCAAATGCAATTTGAACATGAAATAGTGAAATAATAATCATAATAAAAACTAGAGGAACAAATGCACAAAGGTTTAAGGTCTAAACAAAATCCTTTATTTAACTTAAAACTTTTACAGACAATAAAAAAAGAGAGATAAACATTCTAAGAATCCACGGGTCAAACTATTCTCTCAAATTCTAAATATGAACGTTATATTAATTAATATTGCTTGTAGGTAATCATAAAATTATAATAGTTACAACAAAAATCATTGCTGCCTTTTGAGCAACAAAAGTTTACAGAAATGCTTCAGATTGAATTTATATTCAAAACTAACTTTCCTCAAGGAACATTTTCTGTTAGAAATGTGACTACATATAAATAATAAATTTATCTGATAAAAAAAACAAAAACAATAAACAAACAAAAAAGACACAATGCACATGACTTCTGTGGTCACCATCAGGTATCGGTAGCTGCACAACCTGACTATCAATCTTTCACATTGAGTGCGGTTTACACAATGTTCAGCTGAGTGTATGATCTTTTTATGTAGGTATCTCACTGTCTACAAATGTTCATGAAAACTTGGCAGCTTGTGGAGGAGGTCCTAAAAACCCTCCGGCCTGTTTGGTGGCGGCACGGGAGGGGGCGAGACCCAACATCTTCTGGATATTCTGAAAGAACACAAGCATTCAGTGGCAAAGGTTAGGGCATGCATGCATTACATAAATGAACCGTGTCAAAGCCATGTTGACATATTGGCCCCAATTTTAACAGAAGTCTATACAGAGGCGTTTGAAGCGGAAGTGTTACCTAGTACTTTCATGGAAGCAATGATAACACAGATACCTAAAAAGGATAGGGATTTAACTGATTCTGCACATTTTAGACCAGTACACCGTATTAATGTGGTCTGTAAGGTGTTGGCAAAAATGTTGGCTTCACAGCTGGAGAAGGTTCTACCAAGTAGGCTATAATTCATATGGACCAAGTGGGCTTCATCAAGGGAAGGTCAGCAGCCAGTAATGTGAGAAATCTGATGCTATGCCAATATCTAGAACGTGTCATTCCCATACAGTGACCCAATTTGGCTTTAAATATATTCCAAAGGGTATGAAGTACCTTGGGGTTAAACTAACTCAAAATTTGGAGGACAAAATAATGTTGAATTATGACCCACTGCTGTAAAAAAATAAAAGATAAAAAATGTGGACAAATAGGAACAGCTGAAACTTTCTCTGTGGGGTAAAGTGAATGTTGTCAAAATGGTTATTGCTCCACAGTTCAATTAAATATCCATGATGATACCTGTGAACATTCTAGACCCTTATCTTTAAAAGATATGATAAAATGATCAAGGATTTTCTATGGGAAGGAATAAGACCCTGGATTAAAATGAGTAAATTGATTTCTCCAAGGGACAAGGGGGGCCTTGGATTACTGGATGTGAGGATGTATAATTTGAAAACAATATGGCAGAAGGATTTAGGGATTAATATTCATGATAATGACTGGCTGGATATATTTAATGTGAGTAAGAGAACATAAGGGAAGCTAGGTGGAAATTAATTCATTACAAAACAGTACATAGATATTATTATACACCATCTACACTTTACAGGATGGGGATAGCTGGAAATAATCTATGCTGGAAATGTAAGGAAGAAGAGGGCACTTATTTACATATGATCTGGGAAAGTTCTTTAGTTCAGCCATTCTGGCGTAAAGTTCTGAGATTACTTGAAGCGTGGCTGGGCTTTAATTTACCTGTGGAACCTCAACTATGCCTTCTTGGAGATAAATCAGTGGTACCCAACATACACAGCAAAAAATGCATTTACCATTATTAAGATTGGTTGAATCACAGCAGCCAGGATTATCTTACACAATAGGAAAACTGCCAGAAAACTCTTCCCTCAAACCTGCCATTACATTATTACTACTTGGATCATGCTCCATTCACTCACAAAAATATGGAAGAAATAATATATATAAAAAAAATAGATAAACATTACCTGTCGAATTGACATGGTGCACAGGATGTAGAGGAAGATGAAGGAACAGTCAGTGTAATCTTCACCAAGGAGGTTGCGGTGTGAGAGGCCTTGGATATATGACAATGGGACAAATGGAAGTTTGGCCACAACACGACCATCAAAGCTGAAATGGAAAAAAAAAACAATTTAAACACATAAGTGAAGTAGTGATTTCAGGTAACTTTAGCAAATCATACCACTATTAACCTACGATATTATTGAACATTTATAACAAAGCGCCTCTGTGATAATGCACTGAATGGGTCAACATACATGGAATTGAACATGCCCATCAAAGCAGTGAAGCAAAAGCCAATGGCAAACATCGATTTCATCCGGACCTGCAATTAAAATATCTTTAATACAATTCCAAAACAAAGTGTAACTTGTTAAGACAGCTCACCACATTAACTATGAGAATGAATCAGAAATAACATAAAATAATTAATTATGTGATATGAATTTGAGAACTGCAATAGAAAATATTAGAATACCATAGACAGGTCTCTGTTATTGTTCTTGAGTTTCTCTTCTTGTCTCTCTGTTGAATACAACATTATAGTTTACAGTAATGCTCCATTTATATTGCCCAATAACAATTACGTTTTTACTAATTGCTAATAATAACAGAAACTAAAACATTTTTTTACTAAGTGTCATAATTATTATTATTTAACTATTTGTTAATAGTAATAATCATCATCCTGATCTACATAAATAATCATAAACAAAAATCATTTTAATGATCTCACCTATTTTTTTCTTCTGTTGACGCCCAGCTGATTCTGTAATTGTCTCTTTCTTTTTCTCCACTGAAACATGTTACAGAATTGTAATCATTGGTCACATGTATTAAATCCATGCAAAGGGCAAACATGCCTCGTTACTTAGAAGTCTGCGAGCCGCCGTAAAGCAAGAAAAACATGCCTCGTTCATATAACTTACGTTTTTTACTTTGTTTTTCAACCTCGGCCTTTAGTCTCTTGTACTTGTCTGTGCGGTACACCAGAACCCATGTTATTCCTGTAGAAACAGAGCAGGGCGAACTGTTATCCACCTCAACTATGCCTTCTTGGAGATAAATCAGTGGTACCCAACATACACAGCAAAAAATGCATTTACCATTATTAAGATTGGTTGAATCACAGCAGCCAGGATTATCTTACACAATAGGAAAACTGCCAGAAAACTCTTCCCTCAAACCTGCCATTACATTATTACTACTTGGATCATGCTCCATTCACTCACAAAAATATGGAAGAAATAATATATATAAAAAAAATAGATAAACATTACCTGTCGAATTGACATGGTGCACAGGATGTAGAGGAAGATGAAGGAACAGTCAGTGTAATCTTCACCAAGGAGGTTGCGGTGTGAGAGGCCTTGGATATATGACAATGGGACAAATGGAAGTTTGGCCACAACACGACCATCAAAGCTGAAATGGAAAAAAAACCCCAATTTAAACACATAAGTGAAGTAGTGATTTCAGGTAACTTTAGCAAATCATACCACTATTAACCTACGATATTATTGAACATTTATAACAAAGCGCCTCTGTGATAATGCACTGAATGGGTCAACATACATGGAATTGAACATGCCCATCAAAGCAGTGAAGCAAAAGCCAATGGCAAACATCGATTTCATCCGGACCTGCAATTAAAATATCTTTAATACAATTCCAAAACAAAGTGTAACTTGTTAAGACAGCTCACCACATTAACTATGAGAATGAATCAGAAATAACATAAAATAATTAATTATGTGATATGAATTTGAGAACTGCAATAGAAAATATTAGAATACCATAGACAGGTCTCTGTTATTGTTCTTGAGTTTCTCTTCTTGTCTCTCTGTTGAATACAACATTATAGTTTACAGTAATGCTCCATTTATATTGCCCAATAACAATTACGTTTTTACTAATTGTTAATAATAACAGAAACAAAAACATTTTTTTACTAAGTGTCATAATTATTATTATTTAACTATTTGTTAATAGTAATAATCATCATCCTGATCTACATAAATAATCATAAACAAAAATCATTTTAATGATCTCACCTATTTTTTTCTTCTGTTGACGCCCAGCTGATTCTGTAATTGTCTCTTTCTTTTTCTCCACTGAAACATGTTACAGAATTGTAATCATTGGTCACATGTATTAAATCCATGCAAAGGGCAAACATGCCTCGTTACTTAGAAGTCTGCGAGCCGCCGTAAAGCAAGAAAAACATGCCTCGTTCATATAACTTACGTTTTTTACTTTGTTTTTCAACCTCGGCCTTTAGTCTCTTGTACTTGTCTGTGCGGTACACCAGAACCCATGTTATTCCTGTAGAAACAGAGCAGGGCGAACTGTTATCCAGCACTACAAGAGCTAGTGCGTTTGTCCTGTATTTGCTGAGCTTCGGACATTTTCCTAGGCATTCGCTTACTGATTTCTGACATGCAAAACTCAATTTCAAGGTAGCTTAGCGTCTACATACCTTCCGCTAATAATGCTGTGCAAATAGATATAAACACAATCAGGATCGTATCTGCAAACATTGTGCTCATTTTGGAAAAACGTTTAGGATACTGATAATACTTTGGGTGAGCCACAAGCTCTACTGTAGCAGCGTCAGCATTACTGTGACCATATCATCAGTGTGCGCCCAGCTTCCTCGTGGGTGCTGAATGTGGTTGCACTATGAAATCATGACTCCACACCTCCTCCTAGTGGCAACGACCCGGCATTATATTTGGGCAGGATAGGTAAATGATGACGAATTGATTAAAACCTATTTTTAAAAGCTTTTAAATTATAGTAATGGAAATTTGCTCGTGGATTTCAATTGTTTAAGGATGCGATTTTTTAAAAAAGGATTTAAGATTGCCTTGCAATGTAGTGCACTAGCCTATATAAATTTAATGTATTATTAATTGAACAATTTACTGTTACATGGCCAATTTCATATCCACTGAAACAAATTAAGCAGTAGGGACTATGAATCTGTGCTCTCCTTTAAAAAGATTTTTGTAATATGAAGATACTTCATATTCATATCATTATGTATCATATAAGATATCATATATCATTATCAGTGTTGGGGTAACGCGAGTTACGTAATCAGATTACTTTTTTCAAGTAACTAGTAAAGTAACGCATTACTTTTTAATTTACAAGAGAATATCTGAGTTACTTTTTCAAATAAGTAATGCAAGTTACTTTTTTTTCAATTTATTGATTGACAGCTCTCCTGTCCCCATGTTGAGAGAAATCAGATGTTACTGTAGTTCAAAATAGATATGAATATGCATTAATTCATCTCACTCACACACAAAAAAACACATTCAGTATTGCAACTAAATATAAAAATAATGCAACTCAGAATATGACACAAACCTGTAATAATTAAATGTTAAACAACACAAATATCCTTTATGTATTTAATCCCATTCTATTAACCAATGTCTTTCTTCTGACCTTCGATGATCCAGTTCAACCGTACTAATAAGAAAAAATTACTCTAGACAAACATTTGTGTCTTTTTTTTAATTGCTGAAGTGTTTACTCTTCTTCTGCATTCTACTGTACGGACGTAAATGTACTTTCCCTTCAGTCTGAGGCTTATTCATTTCACTTTTGGTGTGAAAAGGCTTTTATATTTGCCAAAAAAAACTTTTTATTTTAAAAACAAACAAGCAAGCCCTGTCCAGATAGATTTAAAAAGTAACGCAAAAGTAATGTAACGCATTACTTTCCCTAAAAAGTAACTAAGTAACGTAATTGGTTACTTTTTTATGAAGTAACGCAATATTGTAATGCATTACTTTTAAAAGTAACTTTCCCCAACACTGAGAGTAGATGTCTGCATGAATAAATTATAAACATGTATTTATACTTATAATGTGGTCTGAAGATGATATAATAATATAAAAATAATAATAATTTTTTATTTTAAAAACAAACAAGCAAGCCCTGTCCAGATAGATTTAAAAAGTAACGCAAAAGTAATGTAACGCATTACTTTCCATAAAAAGTAACTAAGTAACGTAATTGGTTACTTTTTTATGAAGTAAGGCAATATTGCAATGCATTACTTTTAAAAGTAACTTTCCCCAACACTGATCATTATATTGTGTTATATTATAAACAATTCACTCTCTCGTATCACAATTTTAGTACAAAAAATATTAAGTATAAAGGCAAGACTCTAGTATACTATGTAACTGTTTAAAAGTTTGAAGATGTGATTTTTTAAAAATCCAAACAGTATTTCTAAAGCTCTAAAATTATTTCATTTTGCTTTCTTATAAATAATAGTATTCAACAGCCGTGTTGTAGCCAATACTCCATCACTGTACCATCAATTTCAAGAGCTGGTGAAACACCATTGCAAAAAATATTGTGGGAAGACCATTGTACATTGTATATATAAATGAAAAAAGTAATCCCTTTTATATAACACTTTTATAAAGTGTTTAAATGAGTGTACCTTGAGTGGAGAGAGCTCTACTAATTCCTACTAACAAATGTAACATCACACACAAACGAGGCAAGACTCTAGTATACTATGTAACTGTTTAAAAGTTTGAAGATGTGATTTTTTAAAAATCCAAACAGTATTTCTAAAGCTCTAAAATGATTTCATTTTGCTTTCTTATAAATAATAGTATTCAACAGCCGTGTTGTAGCCAATACTCCATCACTGTACCATCAATTTCAAGAGCTGGTGAAACACCATTGCAAAAAATATTGTGGGAAGACCATTGTACATTGTATATATAAATGAAAAAAGTAATCCCTTTTATATAACACTTTTATAAAGTGTTTAAATGAGTGTACCTTGAGTGGAGAGAGCTCTACTAATTCCTACTAACAAATGTAACATCACACACAAACGCTCCAAAGCAAAAGGTTAGACACAATTGAAAGGAAGAGGGAGGAGGAGCGCCGCTGCTTGCCGTGGTTAAAGCAGTCCAGAGCCTCAGTGTGAGTGTGCGCACTGACAGCATGACTGGAGACAGAGACGGCAAGTTGGGCAATCAAGCCGAAAATGAGCATGTTGTCGGGCAACCTTTCCTCATCGGGGTAGCCGGCGGCACTGCCAGCGGCAAGGTTGGCATTCTGCTTTACCTTACATGAATATTAGTTATCGTTTGTTTTGTGTTTGTCAGAGAAATGAGAGCACACCGACCGCGTGGCTCATTGTCACGGAATCATCAATGTGCACATTTATTTTATTACCCGAGATGGTTTGACATTTTTTTAGACTTTTTATTAGACGTTTTGCATTTAAGGAGTGATGTAATTGACTAGTTTATTTGTAAATCAAGTCCAATCATTTAGATGGAAAAAAAAACTAATAAATAGGGATAGTATTTTTAAAACTTATACAGAATATAATAAATACTTCGCTGGTATGTGTCCCTCAAAAACAACGATGTTGGTCATTTTCCTGATGTAGACAGCTCCCACACACACATGGCGATGGTGGACTTACCAACTTATTAATAAGCATTTAATCAATGTTATTAATGTTCACCTAAAATGCTCTAGATCCAGGTTAATTCACTTGCGAAAAGTCCCAGGATTGTTGTGGATCAGGCGCTGTTGTGTCTAGGCAAATTACGGCTATCTTTTGTTGTTAGAAAACAGCACGACACTTGCGCCGGATAAATCACCACAATCCCTCCGACATTCCATCAAATCCCATCAGCTGTCGAACACCCTAATTACAGTTTTACTTTAGCTAAATATACAACGCGTTGTGAGGAAAGTCTAACTTTGCGGTTATATGTGGATAAAACCTGGTCCGCGCCGGAGGATGTCTTGCGTCTGCTAGGATAACAGTTATGATACAAGCACAAAGACGCACGGTCTCTTTGTTTCACGAGCTAACGGTGTGTGATGATACAAGTTTATATATGTGTTTGTTTAGCGTTAAACCTAAATAACTACTGAATTTTGACGATATAGAGGAGTAACTGCGGAGCTTTTGTTGGTTAACGATATTGGGGTCAGCGACACAGCATGTGTCACATCTTACCTCATTTACGTGCGTAAAGGCTGCGTGCGTGCGTGCGTGCGTGCGTACGCAGTGATGCGTCAAGCGGCTCCTTCAGTGAAGCGTGTTTGTTTGATTAAAAAAAGGTTGTTTTTGATTTGCTTTATTGAAATATTTGTGGATATGTTCGTGTTGTATATTTATAGTAGGTAAATACATAATATACAGTTAAGTTAATATACAGTTACAGTTAATAAACGGAAAACTAAAAATGGCTAAGGTTACCACGCCATACCTGGTAACAAAATGTTTTAAATGATTATTTTCAATAATATTTTACATTTTTATTTTATATTTTAATATATTTCATATTTATGTTACTTTTATATTATTATCTATCTATCTATCTATCTATCTATCTATATATATATGATATTAAATATTTTATATATATATATTACTAAAAATGTAAAAAATGAATGACAAAAATAAAATGAATATTTTCAGTCTAGGTGTATTACCTGTTGTACTTTGTTTTATTTTATATTTCGCATATATTTATAGCATTAGTGTTGTGTTTGTGCAAGATTATTTATGTTTTATTTATATTACTTATTATATTTATGTTACTATTGGCCATAGATGCTGGAAAAGCCAATTATGATGAAGTTTAAGTCATTATGTGGAATACTATTGCATTCTTAATTGTATTTACATTTTATGTTTTACTGACAACTCTGTTTAGTCATTATTTAAAATGTCTCTGTACATAATGTGTCTGTTCCTTTCTGTTTCCGTTTGATTATCTTGTTTGCTTATGTTGTGACTGCTATTTCTCCCAGCTGACAGGTGTGCAAGTTTCTCTTACCACAGTGCATGGGAGAAATGTGTTATCTAATTTCTCAGTGAAAATGCTTTGACTGGACTTCCTCAAGCAATACGTTATCGTGTCTGTGTCTGTGGATGTGCTTGTAGGCATGTTTTGTCCGGAGCTAATATGTTATGCTCTTGGTGTGTTGTTTAAGGACACCAGTTTGTTTACATCCTGAAACTGCTCAAATAAAGCAGATAACTGACTGAAGTAAGTGTTTCCTTTCTATGTTTAATGCAGCCAGAAACGTCTTTGCGTTGATAACATACATCACAACCCAACCCACTAGGTGCACTTTAGGTAGCATTCACAATTACATTTCTAAACGGCAGCTTTGCTTGTTGGGTGAACAAAAATGCTTGGGAATTAATCAGGGAACTGTTTAGTCAGCAACAGCAGAAGCTGTTTTTTGGCTGTCCTGCAAGGTTAGTTTAGGGGGCAGTGACAAACCAGGCTAGGAGAGATGCCCACTTCACTGCAGATATACTCACTTCTGGGGACCATGGCTTCTTTCTCCTTCCTGCTGTAGGTTGTTATGAGTTTTATAACTTGCTCAGTATCCTCCTGATGGTTCAAAGGTAAATTATTGTCTTTCTTTGCCTGTAGGCCATTTAGCATGTGAGCAGGATTAGAGCTTACTTTGGCTGGAGGTTGATGGATCTTGGGCACAGTATACCAACAAATGTCAAAGAAGTGTTTGAGCTCTTTTTTACTTTCTTTCTGCAAGGGTTTAACACAGTGGAAAAACATGTCATTATTACATAATATAAATTAGTTTGTGGTGGTGAAGCCGGTGTGATTGGGCCTAGTTGAAATGCACTCCAGT